TTTAGGTAGGTGTGGCTGACTCTTAACTTTTATAAAGAATATCTCTTTGGATTTGAGACTTTAGTCTTTGCAACTTTACAGATCTTCTTTATGCACCAAGAGCTTGTAACACTCCAAAGAGAACGGAAAAATTGAAATCGCATCATATGACCCCTTTAAGCTGCATTATAGGATTCATTGCCACTGGGAGCAGCTGCGGCCATGATTAATGTTATACCGCCCTCTGATGGTGAGAGCAATTACAGCAATGATAAAAGGAGACAGAAACCAGTATGAGTCACATCACATCACACTAGGCCTCAAATGTCACCCTCTCCGGTTTCTTTGGGAGGTGCGGGACAGGAGGGTAATTGGGGATCACTAACTAATGACTCTCACGGCAAAGCCCCGACAGAGGTTGCTGGGATATGACCACTGCGGATGTTTGAATGTCACAGCACAGTCGTGTGAGCGAGTGTGCACTCGTGCGAGAGGCTGTTTCAGCTGACTCATCAGATCTCGAGTGTGTCCCTTTCCCAGGTTGCTGTGGGTTTTGCAAAGTCAAGCTGGCAGCGTGCCTGGTGTTCCCCAAGGCTCACTCTTTAGTCCATCTAAAACATGGCCGTGAGGGAAGTGCAAATGCAGGGTTTCAAATTTATCAGGCTATTTTAACATGTCAGGTATCCCATGAGTTATTCTTTTTTCTAAGGAGATGAAAGCTTTTCCAGACCATTAAGCAGCATGATGAATTGTGCATAGCAAGAGGGAAATAAATAGCAAAAGTGAACGTGAGGACATTTCGTAAAGGAAATAATAAATTAACTGACATCAACCATATGCTTAGTTGCTCTTTGTAAGGAAACAAATGATCAGTACCAAACCATATTGTAGACAAAAAAACAAATCAAATTTGAAAATCTTGTCTGTTCATTTGACACCTGTAGACTTACAATATATCAAAATTCATACTAAAACACAAACGGACCTCCAATGTTCCATCATGCATTAGTCAAACATTCACTCAAAGGTATCTTACCTTTGCAAGATCCACTAGAGAGTTTGATTGGTCATTCAGCTTGCGTTGCTCCATTTTTACACTTCTTAATCTGAACACAAGACCATTCAGAGCCCAATAGTGGCAAGTGGTCAGTACAAAAATATTTTGACAGGTTCTCCATTCACAGGCCACACATTTCGGAAGCACTCCTAGGACATGCACAAGACATGAGGAGAGAATGCAGGGATTGAAGGAGGACTGAGGCGCATGCAAGTCAAAACTTCAGAAGGAAGAGTCTGTGGGCGAGGAAAGTCACTTCATTTCTGAGGGATATTTTTTCCACACCTATTACAGGAACAAAGCAATGCTTTAACAAATTATGGAAATTATGAAAGTATAATGACCTTATTGATGCACACAAAAGTACACCTGGGACTCTGATGAGAGATTTTCTAGTTATTAGTGAGGAAAGGATGATATATTAGAAACCTTCAAAAAAAGCTAGATTGTTCATATTTATAGAACTTTACAAAATTTGACAGATCAGTCACTTAGAGTTAGAGTTTATTGTGAAATGTTTTTTGTGGGGGGGGGGCATGAAAATTCTGTTTACAGTAATATACTTACGGTAGAAGTCTATGGGGCCAGGTTTCAAATGTTAAAATATACATTGTATACATAAACACATATATAAAATATAAAGAATATAGACAAAAATGTAACTTTACAATTACTTTTAGCGTGATAAAATTGCTTACTAACCTTGTCTGTACGCAGTTATATTCAATATTTAATGACTATGTACAACCACTGAACCCAGTAACAATCAAATTATATGTGTAAGGGTATGAAATATGACGAATTTGAAAATACAGAAGAATTTGTAAGTACTTTTACAAAAATATGACCTCCACATTTTGCTTTTAAACCCTCCTGAATTGCCCCATAGACTTCTATTGTAAGTGTATTGCTGTAAATGCAATATTTGTTGTACAAACTGAAGGACAGTCTAATTTTTTTTCTTTTTTTTTGTGATACTTCACAGCATCTCTTTATAAGAGTCTAATTTGTTTTGAACCTGGAACATTCCTTTAAAATAGTGACTGAATCCTGTTTCATATTGGATTTGCTGTATTGTTTAACCGATCACTGTAAGGAAGCTGAGATAAATGGCCTGTGAGAACTGAATACTACATCACACAGCTTTGTAAACCAACCCTCTCACTCAAATCCATACTGCTAGCATTAATTATTCATCTCCATTTAATTAGGTTTCTTAGGAATTACTTATCTTCACTATACATTAAGTGCTTTCTTCTCTCGTTCTCAAGGGCATTGCATACAGCACTCCTGCAAGACGTGTGCGAGTAACACACATAAACTGCACTCAGTATGTTTCCTGACTCACAAGGGAGAAACACAAGAAAGCTGTACTCTGTTCTGGGGAAAAGGGATTGAATCACAGCTTGAGATATTTGTAATCATCGCTGAGAAAGAGCAACATTTAGCAATTCATTGTGTGGAGACTGACGCATTAAGCGTCGAGTTAAACTCTCTAATTGAACTGTGAGAGAGTTTGATGACGGATCAGAGAGCAGACAAAATGGGCGGCCTCTGGGGACTGGATGGTGATTGGCCCAAATGTAGCAATTTCCGTCCAGGAGAGCTTGCATGGAGTGGAGTATA